TTTTCTCCCTGTCCTTTTAGGTCATGGAGATTTGACAATCCTTTCCCTATAAATCATTTTTTTTTTTTTTTTTTGGTAACTGGCTGGTACTGGGATCTGAACCCCTGACCTTGGTAGCATAACACCATGCTTTAACCAACTTTCCCTATAAATCTAACACTGATTATCTACCTGACAGAACAGGTCTCATATACTCAGAGTCTCATAAGTGCATTGATCTTGGTATGCTTATTTAAACTGTAATAGTCCATTCACATTTGAATTACTTCCACGCCACACCATCAAAATGGAAGACAAACAAGCCCAGAGGCTTGATATGTTTCCTTGCCTTTTTTTTATCTTAGCATTATCATAGAATGTTTTATTAGTCCTTTTTATGTTGCTGTAATAGAACTGCATAATTTATAAAGAAAAGAGGTTTATTTGGCTCTCAGTTCTGGGACAGCTGCATCTGGTGAGGGCCTCAGGCTGCTTCTACTCATGGTGGAAAGCAGCAGGCAGGTGGCAGGTACAAGCAGATCACATGGTGAGAGGAAGCAAGAGAGAGTGGGGGGAGGTGCCAGGTCTTTTAAACAATGAGCTCTCGCAGGAACTAATAGAGGGAAAATTCACTCAATCCCCCCACTCAGGGAGAGCATTAATCCATTCATGAGGGATCTGCCCCCATGAGGTCTTTTAAACAATGAGCTCTCACAGGAACTAATAGAGCGAAAACTCACTCAATCCCCCCACTCAGGGAGAGCATTAATCCATTCATGAGGGATCTGCCCCCATGACTCAATCAGTTTCCAACACTGCAACATTGGGGATCAAATTTCCACATGAGTCCTGGGAGGATAATACATCCAAACTCCATCAAATATGCAAAAGAAATTATTTTTAAAAAAACTTTAAATATTTACTTATACAACATTGTTTAGCATAGCTTGTCAGTAGACTTCCCCACCTGCACCCCCATTCTTGTAATCTCCTTTTCCAGTTTTGCTTACACTGCCCTTCCTGTCCTGGAACCTGAAACAGCTTGAGTTTATTTGTTTGAGTTGTGCTGAGGAAGAAGGTGAGATGTGGGGAGGGTGCAGATGGTTATTGACTATAATCCTACTTCTATGATCTCGCTGGCCAGAGCAGCCTGAATTTTCTCCAGCACCAGAGAAAGATTTTGAAAGGGTTTGCAACTGGCATGCAAGTTTCCATCTTGCTTAGATTGATGGCAAAAACTAGATCTACTTCATCTACTGTCCTCACAAATTGGCCCACAGACTCATCCCATTACAGATGGATCTTGAGGGCTTCCAAATACCCATGGCTTTCAGGGACACCATGAGTACTGTGACCAGCCTTACCATCTTGTGGCTATTTTAGCATGAGATTGAGTTACATCCCTAAAAGTTGGTAACTCATCAGCTGATCTCTAAAGCATTTGGGGCTTATTTGGGTCCCCAAATTAATTTTGTCATAATTAATAAATTACAGGCCAGCTTTTTTTATGAAGAAGCATTGTGATAATCTTTAAAATTGTTTTATCTAAAGAAGACACAGACTTACACATCACCCAGCCCAATTACTCCTCCTGGTACTTTTTTGAGGTGGATGTTGGGTAAGTTTGCACAAAGCTACAAGCTTCTATCAGAAACACTTCCTAATGTAACAACCTAACCTACCTACCCACATTGCAAAGGCTCTAGCACTTATGTTGAAACTGTCTTTACAACATCCCCTCACTTTAGGATGATATTCTACTTCCCACTACATTTATATGTTATGTAATATGTCCCTTAGCACTATTTTGCTAAAAAAGAATGTAATGACTTTGGCTAAGCTGTACAACTTGTTCCATGGCAAATTATGTAAAATTATTTCAAAAATCCCAGATGGCCTCTAAAACGTGGTCAACTGGTAAGTCCCACTTCCCCTCAGGGTGGCAAAGAAAGATCAGGGGAATCCACAAAATGGAAGGCCTCCTCCCCCCCCAGATAAAAGATGAATTTCTCCCTTTTTGAGGTCCCTTCCCCAGTTTCTGCCAACATAAATTTCAAATATACATTAAACTCCACTGGACGTTTAAGTGCTCCCAAAGCAGTATAGAGCCAGAGGATGAGGAGTTGTGACATCATTTAGCTAACACTGTCCTTTTTGCAGCTGAAAGAGAATTTAGTTTCAACATTTATGCTCCAAAAAGATTTGGTTTATATGGACAGTCCCTCATTGCTTATCTCCCGTGAGCGCTCCGTTACTCCTCCTGCTCCTTTCAGAGTCTCTGTCTCCTTCATAAGGACACTTCATGTTACCCCTTTAAACAGAATAAGAAAGTCCCACCTTCTGCCCAGGTCTTTTTCTGGCTCCACCATAGGGATGGGTGGGTTATGGCCCCATAGTCAGTGAGGACGACAGTGAGACTTCAGCCACCTCCAGTCTCCCCCAACCAACTGTGCCCATGGCTTGTTTTGCTCCCTGGATTACATGGAGAAAAAACACATCTTACTTTTTGGACCTGTTGCTTCTACATCAGTCTCGTAACTATTCTGGTTGCTACTCTGCTTTTGCTCCCAATATCTATTTCCGGCTCTATTCTTTGATTTCCATGACCGTTTTATCCCTAAATCTTTTTTAAAGACCCCATCTCTTCTGTTTAATCATGGCACCTGGACAGTCACTTGAGCTCAGTTTCACCTGAAGCTTCACTTTAGGAAGTATCTCTTTTTTCATAACTAACCCAGAGGAACTCATGCCCTCTTAATACCCAGGACTACCCAAAAGAAGAGCATAATTCTGATTAAAAGTAAATTAGACTGTTCAAATATAGATAACTATTGAACCACAGCATATTCTTTTGAAAAACACTAAGAAATTTAGAGAAGAGAATTAAGAAGGCTTTAAGAAAAAAAAACAAAACTGTCTTCTGGGATTTTTTTTTTCTTTATTAATAGTTCTAACTTTGACAGCTACCAAGAAGACTTCACAATCATTTGGGGCACTTGTACAAGACAACCTTCTTACTAACTCGTACTAGAAAATGTATTTGTTCAGTCCACTTTGGAGACATGGCTAGGATGGTTTGGAATTCAATTAATGAAAATCAGTCATGGGTTCATTAGAGGAAGAAATTTTTTTTTATACAGAAAAAATGGAAGTTGCTAAGAAGTATTGGCTCCTTTTAATTAACCTGAATTCAATTATTTATAGTCATTCATATTTTTATCCAGAGATAAGTGAAACACTTTACTTTCTATTTCTATTTTCTCTCTCCAGAGTTTTATTCTCTCTCAGTATTCCCTTCTATATGGAGAAAAATTTAAAGTAAATGTTGTCAGTCTGGAGAAGGCGGAGGAAGAGTCATGGTGGTTATGCTTGCTCATTACCAGGCACTGTGCTGTGTTCTATGAATACAAAGACAAGTAAAATCCAAACCCTGTTTTTCAAAGAACTCACACTCTATTTAGGAAAGCAGATATCTATATATTTATTTTATAAGCATTATTAAATGTGATTAGTAGTTACACAGAGTTATATAAAGTGCTATAGAAGAATTAGTAAGGGAATAATTATTTTTGCTTGGAGAGGTTTAGAAAGGTATCACAGAGTCTAAGTTGTAAATGGCACAGAAATATGGAGGATGGTTTGTGGTAGGGCATGTCTTAGCCCACTGCTTCTCAAAGTTGGCCTTTGGACTTGATGTATAACTAATCCTAGAAGAAACCATCAGTTAGATGCTGTCAAGGACAGAAGGCAAAATATGAACAAAGGAGGCGTCTGAAGGAGGCCATCAATGGAGATTGACTCTGATTAGGGGATGCCAATCAGGTTTGGGCTAAGTCTCAGAATCAAGGCAACATATGTCACATGCAGAGCTGGATCTTTGCCGCGATTTCATCTGAAAACAAAAGAAACAAAAGCAGAAATGAAGCACATATCTTAACATGGCAGCCTATCAGGACTAGGGCCGGCAGATAGGCCCCAGCCATCCAACTGAGGTATAGCTTAGGGTTTTTCAAAGGCACCAGTGCTTTATAAGAGGAGCAGAAAGCGGCCAGATTACCTGTTTCCTCAACAGGCAAATCTTCTAAAACATCATCTGCAGCCCTCAGCATCTGCCTTAGTGCAGAGAGGATCAGAACGTCTTTTACAGGTTCCAGGTCCCACTCTGAAGCATAATTTTCAACTATCAAGATATTAGTTCTGCAGCCCTCAGCATCTGCCTTAGTGCAGAGAGGATCAGAACGTCTTTTACAGGTTCCAGTTCCCACTCTGAAGCATAATTTTCAACTATCAAGATATTAGTAACAGGAATGCCTAGCATTTTGTTGACATTCATTACCTGTGAAAAAATATATTTAAAAAACATAAGTCTTATATTTGAAATTTGACTGGATTTTAAATAAAATTCAAGAAAGAAATTTTCAAAAATCAATGCCTTGATAAATTCTCTCAGAACACTTGAAATTCAGATAATTATAAAATGGAATTTAAACTTGAATTAACCAGGCCATTTATTCAATTCTTCATTTACTTGTGAATATGTTGTGTGTGTGTGCATGCTCACGCACATATACACACACACAGAGTATGATTGTGATACAGTTACAATAATAATCTGGTTACAAACAGCATTCTTTACCTGGCTTTGAGAAGTCGCAGATCTATTCATGTTTAAAAAGTCTTCTTCAAGAACTTCACTGTAATTATTCACTTTAGTAAGCAAGGCTACATATGCTATACCTATGTCAAATAGATAAATCAGTTATTTTACATCATAAATTTAAGCAATGTGTCAACAGGCGATTAAAAATGTGTAAAAGCAGCTCTCTGTAGGGTGATTTTAAAAGTTGGAGAATGAAATATCCCCAATAAAACTCAGTATGGAGCCTGAAGTTCTTATAATGAAGAAATGATCTTTTTCTTCCAACATGACAGATCACTTTTAAACGCAACTAAATTTACACTAAGTTGCAATCATCTACCATCTCATTCAAATAGTGTATGTTAAAGTAATGGGGGGGGAGTGATTGCTGGACTTTGGGGACTAAAATGAACCACAAAAAAGAGAGGAAGTTCATGTGTATAAGCATTTATAAAAGTAAACTATACTGATTTTACAATTCTTAGTAGAACTGTTGCCTTCTCCTTCAAACCACAGAGATCAGATTAGTCAATCACACCCAGCTTCTAAACCAAGCAAGTTCTGCTTGCTAACAACTGCTTTTGAAAAAAAAAATCATACTATAAAATTCAGAATTTTATAATACCAATACCACTCAAGGATGTGGATCTCCTTCACCAGAGATTTTAGTATTTACCCCTTACAAAAATCTTGTGTTTCTGATTCCCATAACTAAATGTTTGTCTTTACTATCTTCTCTTCATTCAAGTCCCAGAGGAATAACTAGCAAAACTGGTCAATTAATACCTGGCTTCTGGTAGAGGGCAGTTCTCAGTAAACACATATTTTTTTTTTCAGTCTGTTACAATGCGATTCTGTTTCGAAATGAATGCAGTGTCCTTTTAGAAGTCCTCAGTCAGCACAGTTACTTGCTTTAAATATTGCCACCCAGCACAGTATGTAGCCATATGTCCTTGAAAAACTTATTTCAAATCTTAGCACTTCTTCTCTAAGTCTTATCCCAAGCCTACCATAATTTTAGATCTGTTAAATGTTTATATATGTTTATTTGCCTACATTGAGCATGTCTAACATTTACTAGTTAAATATTTGTAGTGGTATGAAAGTTTATACATAGTTTATTAAGTTCAGATGCAGAACTTATTGTCCCCATATTACAGAAGAGGAGACTAAAGTTCTGTGAACTTGTTAACTTTTTCAAGATCAAAGTTTATGACTTTAAAATTTAGGTTCGCTTAGCCACAAAGATCATGCTCTGTACATTAAACTGCACAGCTTTTTTCAGAACCCAAATATAAATGTTCTTTCTACTAATACACTATATGACAAGGCTCTGGAGTATAAACACCCGAAGAGCTCTTCACATTGAAGTTTTTTGGAAGTTCAATGACAGGACGAACTTCAGTTTGGGACCAAATGGAATAGACAGACTTTCCCCTATTTTTCTCACTAAGTATAAAAAAACTCTGGGCATTATACATAAATCAAGCAAAGATTGAAAGGTGAAGAGAAGTGAGACTGGTTAGAGACCTTAAAACCCAAGAAACAATACAGAGGTGAGTTTCTTAGGTTTTCTTTTCACTTCATATATCCCAGATTGGCTGTTGGAGAAGCCCACAATCGGGAAATGCCAATTGGAGCTGGCAAAAAACAAAGAAAAGTAAAATCTGTTTTCTCTAGCCAAAGCATGAGAAAAGAGGAAACCTAGCAAGATAGGAAACTTTCAGAAAACAGCCACACTACCCAGCCAAACACTGCAGAAATCACCTCAGCCCCATCTGTGCAAGTGTCCTTCCCCTCCCTAACCCTCACTCCCTGCCAAGGTAGTGTCAGAGAAGGACAAACAGGGAGTCAGGACATTCATGTCTGCACTGTGCTAACAAAATTCCCCTCGATAGTGTCGATGGAAACTCCCTGGGGATCCTGGACTTCCACTCCAATCAGCAGTAATGAGGTGCCTGTCTCCCTCTCTTCCAGTGTCAGAAGAGGCCAAGTGAGATCAAACTTTAACCACCATTCACCCAGCTTTAAGGAGCCTCCTAGCACCTGCATTGTCAGTGGAGGCCATATGGGGAGCAGTAGCAAAGTGCCTTTCCCCAAGGGCATCAAGCAAGGCCTTATGGGAAACCTGTACTATCACTCCAGTAGTGTCAAAGGAGGCCTGTTAAAACATAAGGTCTAAATAAGATTCTGGCTGGCTATTTATCTCAGTTGGTTAGAGCATGGTGTTATAAAACCAAGGTCAGGGGTCCAGATCCCCATGTCAAAGGAGGCCTGTTAAAACATAAGGTCTAAATAAGATTCTGGCTGGCTATTTATCTCATTTGGTTAGAGCATGGTGTTATAAAACCAAGGTCAGGGGTTCAGATCCCCGAACCGGCCTGCCAACAAAATAAATAATAAATAAATAAAGATCCAGATCCCGAGTCTCATAACATAATGCCCAAAATATCTAAGATATAATTAAGAGTCATTTGTCATACCAAAAACCAGGAAAATCTCAACCTGAATGGGAAAAGCTAATCAGAAAATCTTGGCACTAATTAAATGACAAAGACGTTGGAATTCCTTGGCAAAGATTTTAAAGCAACCATCATAAAAATACTTAACAACCAAGTGGGAACATGCTTGAAACAAAAGAAAAACAGAAAGTCTCAGCAAAGAAATAGAAAATACCAAAAAGACCAAATGAAAATGTTATAACTGGGGGCCAGCCCGGTGGCGCACTGCTACAGTGCGCCACTTGGGAGCGTGGCGGCGCTCCCGCCGAGGGTTCGGATCCCACATACAGACCGGCCGCTCACTGGCTGAGCGAGGTGCGGGAGCAACACCGAGGGTTGCAATCCCGTTGCCGGTCCCGGTCCGGTACGGGCGCGACACTGAGGGTTGCAGTCTGTTGCCGGACACGAAAAAAGACAAAAAGGAAAAAAAAAAGAAAGAAAATGTTATAACTGGAAATGTAATGGCCCAAATAAGAAACACAACTGATATGCTCAAAAGCAGAACGGAGAGGACAGGGTAAAGAATCAGTGACACTGAAGCTATTGCAAAAGAAATTACCCACTCTGAAAAACAGAGAGCAAAAAGACAGAAAATATTAACAGTAGGACTGTGACAAAAGAACTGTAATTTATGTCATCAGAGTTCCAGTATGAAAGAAGAGAGATGGCAGGGCTGAAAATGATAATAAAAAGACAACTACAGACTTGAAGAAATTATTTTAAACCTTATATCTAACATGGACTGAGATCTAGGATTTACAGATCTCTTAAAATTCAACCTCAAAAAAAAAAAAAACCAAATAACACAATAAAAAATAAGCAAAAAGATATGGAGACATTTTGCTGAAGAAGATATACAGAAGGCAAATAAGCACAAGAAGATGTTAAATGTCATAGTCATTAGGCAATGCAAACTAAGACCATGATGAGATATCATTACACACCTGTTAGAAGAGTTAAAATTTTTAAATACCAATAATACCAAATACTAGTGAGAATACAGAAAAAACTAATCTCCCATACATTGCTGGTGGAAATGTAAAATGGTACAGTCCCTCTGGAGAGTAGTTTGGTGATTTCTTAACAAACTAAATATATACTTACCATATGGTCAAGAAATCACACTTCTAGGGACTTATTCCAGAGGAATGAAAACTTATGTCTATCCAAAACCTGTACTCTAATGTTCACAGGAATTTTACTTGCGGTAGCTAAAAACTGGAAGCAATCAAAATAGCCTTTGATAGAATATGGTTAAACTGTGGTATATCTGTGCTGTGAAATGTGGTATATGTATATGACTTAACAATTAAAAAAATGAACTATTGATATACTCAACGTTTTGGATGGATCTCAAATGATATTAAGCCAAGTCAAAAAAGCCAGTTTCAACAGGTGACATACTGTATGACTCCATTTATATAGTATTCTCAAAATGACAAAATTATGGAAATGGAAAAGATATTAGTGTTTGCCAGGAGTTAAAGATGGGGAGAAGGTAAAGGGTGCCATGAGGGAAATCTTTGTAGTGATGGAATAGCTCTGTATTTTGATAGTAGTGATGGTTACATAGATCTACACGTGTGATAAAATGACACAGAACTATACACACACATTGTAACAATGTCAGTTTCTTGGTTTTGATCTTCCTAGTCTGTCCACATAGTGTGGGGAGATGCTTCCCCTGTTGAGCTACAGGAAAATCACACATGACGAAAAATTATGGCCAGTCTAGTCTTTAAGGATCAAAGACTAGGATTTATGGCCTTTCTTCAGTCAAACTTGTGAATGATCTCTACCTGCTACTGCCACCAACCAGTCAGGGCTTAGGAAATTGGGTGAAAGATGCATGGGATGTCTCTGAACTATCTCTATAACTCCCTGTGAATGTATAATTATTCCAAAATAAAATGTTTTAATATATACAGTGAGACTCACCACAGTTTAGTACTTCTTTGTGAATTCGTTTGAACTTTTCCACCATTTTAGAGGAGAGATTGTTAATAGAGTTGATGTCTAAGACATAGGCCACACAGTGAATTTTGTCCTTCAGTGATGGAGAAGTGATGAAGGTCGGGTGCTTGGGTGAAATTGGTTTCTGGGGACTCAACTGTTACAGAAACATAAGGTAACATTCAGAATCCAGAGAGTCTCTTCCTAATTCTTTAAGACACAGTTTGTGCTTCAAATACCACCACTACTAACCCCCAAACTGGAACTTTCCCTCCTAACCCAAAGCTATTCCTTCCCCAGATTAGTTAGTAGTACCCTTTCCACATTTCCCTTCCACTTTCAGCATTAGGCCATTATATCTTTCTTACAGAAAAAAATTGTACTGCTTTGGTAAAGATGATAATTATCCACTGTAAATATTGCAGGAAAACACAAAGAATGGGGGGGTTTCTTTTGCTTTTTTTTAAAGCTAACTTCAAATCCCAGTCTCCAGAAATAAATACCATTAACATTTGTTATACATTATTTAAGACTCCTATCTAAGCATTTTGCATGCTTAAATGAACTAATGGATCGAGAGAAAGGGAGAAAAAAATATATTGAAAAAGCCATTTATTTTAATTTTACAGAAGAAAACATAAATTGAAGTGAAACAAAAGAAATGCCAATATTCAAGTTAATGTCTCCTTACCACAAGACAATAATCTTGCCTGACTCCCCACTATTAAAAACAAGGGCTTTAGTATACTCATGATTTCTCCCATCTTTCTGTTCTCATCCTCCTCCTGTATCTTTATTTCTCCTTCTCCCTGACCATGTTCATATTCAACTATGTGTTTTCAGTAACTAGCTTAGTGTCTGGTACAAACTAGGTTTTTAATAAATGATTTTAGAATGAATAAATGATTACACAAGTAAGGTTTCTGATCAAGCACAATAAAGAGGCAAAGGAGGTTACTGTTTAGAAATTAAGGCTGATTCTATCATATCCATTACCTAAAAGATTGGTAATAATAAGGGCTAATTTTTTAAGAACTTAGAGTGCATCATCTCATTTAATCTTCTCAGCCACCCTATGAGATGAGCACTGTTAAACTTGCATTTCACAATTAAAAAAAAATAAGACTTAGAGGGACAAGTACATAACTTGCTCTGGGTACACCACTAGTGTGGCAGAGCAGACCTTTGGATCTTTGGTATTTAGTAGTGAAGCCTAAGCACTTATGGTATAATATCACACTTTAACAGAAAAAGGTCAATTGTTCCAATATTTTGTCTATATGTTCAAAAAAGTGCAAGAGATCAAACCACTAAGTTTACAACATTGTAAAGAACGACATAAACACAATATCCCCATGACTTTTTCCTGGAACCTGGAGGAATAAAATCCCACCTTTTGGCTTTATCTCTCAGTTTTATAGAAAACAACAGCAGTCACTCTACTTTTCTTACATAAATACTTACTCATTGAAAGTATAGTGCTGGTCCATGTTGAAACCACATTTCAGCGATTGAAATTGCCTTATGGGAATGTAAATGAAAAGTATCCATGAAAATGATTTGAAATGTTTTGTGTATTGAAGGAATCTTACCTTACATAAATACTTACTCATTGAAAGTATAGTGCTGGTCCATGTTGAAACCACATTTCAGCAATTGAAATTGCCTTATGGGAATGTAAATGAAAAGTATCCATGAAAATGATTTGAAATGTTTTGTGTATTGAAGGAATCTTACCTGATATCTGTCTGGCACACAGCCTTTTAAGATGTGGGGTATGTCACACATGCACAGTCCTGCTCCCTCTCTCTCATCCAGCCCCATTGAGTCACACAACATAAACGGCAGAGATTTGCCATCTTTTCCATCTTTAACAGAATATATCCTATACTGTAAAAAAAAAAAATCTAGTATAAAAATTCATTCTTTAATCAGCATTTAAGATATGACAATAGAGAGAACAGAAACTGGTTAATGTTTTCACGCCACTGTTTCTCAAACATTTTGGTCTCAGGATCCCCCCAGACTCTTAAAAATTATTGAGGATAACAAAGATACAAGGGTACTTCAAAAAGTTTATGGAAAAATAGAAGCAAAAGATAACATAAATCTTTCCATGAGTTTTTGAGTTATCCTCGTGTTATTTATGTGGATTGTATCTATTCATATCTAACATATTAAAAATTAAAACTGACAAACATTAAATTTTTTTAAATGGACATAAAATTGTATGTATTTATCATATACAACATGATGTTTTGAAATATATACACATTGCAGAATGATTAAATCTACCTAATTAATTTATGCATTACCTCACATAGTTATCATTTCTGTGGCAAGAACATTTTAAATCTAATCTCTTATCATTTTTCAAAAATACAATATCTCCCTAAATACCCCCACACACACACCAACCTCCCTAGCCCCTGGACCACCATTGTACTCTCCACTTCTATGAGATCAACTTTTGTAGATTCCACACATGAGTGAGATCACACAGTATGTGTCTTTCTCTACCTGGCTTATTTCACTTAATATAATGTCCTCCAGTTTCATCCATGTTGTCACAAATGACAAGATTTTCTTCTTTCTTACAGCTAAATAGTATTCCATTGTATATATATAACAAAATTTCTTTATTCATTCATTTGTTGATGGACACTTAGGTTGATTCCATATCTCGGCTATTGTGAGTAATGCTGCAATAAATATGTGAGTGCAGATACCTCTTCAACATAGTGATTTCATTTCCTTTGAATATATATCCAGTAGTAGGATTGCTAGATCATATAACAGTTTTTTCAAAGTTAGTGAGGAACTTCTATACTGTTTTCTATAATGGCCGTGCTAGTTTACATTCCCTGCAACTGTGTATGAGGTTTCCCTTTTCTCCACATTCTCCACAACACTTAATATTTCTCTTTCTGATAATAGCCATTTTAACAGACGTGAGGTAATATTGCATTGTGGCTTTAATTTGCATTTTTCTAAACATTCATGATGCTGAGCACCTTTTTCATATATTTCTTGGCCATTTGTAAGCCTTCTTTTGCAAAATGTCTATTTAGGTCCTTGGCCCATTTTCTAATCAGCTTATTTCTTTTCCTGCTATTGTGTTGTTTGAGATCCTTATTTATTTCAGATATTAACCCCTTGTCAGATGCATGGTTTGCAAGTATTTTCTCACATTCTGTAGGTTGTCTATCCAGTCTGTCGTTTTCTTTGTGGGGCAAAAAAAAAAATAAAAAAAAAAAAATTTAGTTTGTGTAATCCCATTTGTCTATTTTTGCTTTTGTTACCTGTGCTTTCAGATTCATATCCAAAAAATCATTGCCCAGACCAAGGTCACAGAGCTTTACATTTTCTTCCAGTGGCTTCATAGTTTCAGGTCTTACATTCAAGTCTTTAATCCATTTTGAGTTGATTTTTGTATATGGTGTGAGATGAGGATCTAATTTCATTCTTCTGCATGTGGATTACTAGTTTTCCCAACACCATTAGTAAAGAGAACACCCTTTACCCATTGTGTGTTCATGGCATCCTTGTTGAAAATCAGTTGGCTATAAATGTGTAGATTTCTGGGCTGTCTATTCTGTTCCATTGGTCTATGTGGATGCTTTTATGCAAGTACCATGCTATTTTGGTTACTATACTTTGTAGCATATTTTGAAGTCAGATAGTGTGATGCATCCAGCTTTGCTCTTTTTGTTTTTGATTGCTTTGGCTATATAGGATCTTTTGTGGTTCCATACAAATTTTAGAATTGTTTTTCTATTTCTGTGAAGAATGTTATTGGTAAATTTCATTGAATCTGTAGACCACTCTGGGTAGCATGGACATATTACAATATTAATTATTTCAATCCATGGAATATCTTGGATATATTTTTATTTCTTGGTGTCTTTTTCAATTTATTCCATCAATGTTTTATAGTTTTTAGTGTACAGATCTTTTGCCTCCTTGGTTAAATTTATTGCTAAGCATTTTATTTTTTGTAGCTATTGTAAATGGGATTATTTTCTTGATTTCTTTTTCAGATAGTTCACTTTTAGTGTATAGAAACACTACTGTTTTGCATGTTGATTTCATATCTGGCACCTTCACTGAATTTGTTTATTAGTTCTAACAGTTTTATGGTGGAGTCTTTAGGGTCTTCTAGCTATAAGATCATGTCATCTTTAAGCAGAGACAATATAACTAACTTCCTCCTTTCTAATTTTATTTTTCTCTCTTTCCTGGTTGCTCTGGTTAGGACTTTCAGTACTAGATTCAACAGAAGTGGCTAGAGTGGGTTGCCTTGTTCTGCATCTTAGACAAAAGTTATCGACTTTTTCCCATTAACTATGATGTTAGCTATGGGTTTGTCATGAATGGCCTTTATTATGTTGAGGTATATTCCTTCTATACTGAATTTGTTGAGAGTTTTTATCAAAAAATATTTTCTACACTTATAATCAACTCTCCCATTTTGAATTTTTGATGTCACAATATACATTTTTATATTGCATGTCCCTTATCAAATTATTGCAGCTTCTATTATTTTAAATAATTTTGTCTTTTAACCTTCATACTAAAGATATATGTGATTTACATACCAACATTACAGTATTAGAGTATTCTAAATTTGACTGTGTACTTTTACCAGTAAGTTTTATATTTTTAGATGCTTTTGTGTTACTCATTAATAGCCTTTTCTTTCAGCTTGAAAAACTTCCTTTAGCATTTCATGTAAGACAGGTCTGGTGGTGATGAACTTTCTCAGTTTTTGTTTGTCTGCAAAAGTCTTTATCCTTCTTTCAATTCTGAAGGACAGCTTTGGGTCCAGTATTCTTGGTTGGCAGTTTTGTTTTGTTTTGGTTTTTTCCTTGAATGCTTTGAATATTTTATTTCACTGTCTCCTGGCCTATAAGGTTTCTGCTGAGAAGTCTGTTGCTAGACATAATGGAATTCCCTGATTTGTTATTTGCTTCTTTTCTTTTGCTGCTTTCATACTCCTCTATTTGTCTTTGTTTGTAAGTTTGATTGTAATATGTCATGGGATAGTCTTATTTGAATTAAATCTGACTGGAGACTTTTGACCTTCCTGTATGCACCTGGATATTTACATCTTTCTCCAGGTTTGAAAAGTTTTCTGCTATGATTTATTTAAATAAGCTTTCTACTCCTTTATCTTTCTCTTCTCCTTTAATTGTGACTTGAATATTTGCTGTATTCATACTGTCCCATAAGTCCCATGAGCTTTCTTCTTTCCCTTCCATTCTACTTTTTTTCCCTATGACTGTATATACTGCAGTTTAAGTGTCCTCCCAAAACTCATATTGAAACCTAATCACCATTGTGACAGTATCAAGATTTGGGGCCTTTGAGAGGTGATTGAATCATAAGGGCTCTGCCCTCATAAATGGATTAACCTATTTACAGACTGAAGGAATTAATGGCTTATCACAGGAGTGGCACTAGTGGCATTATAAGGAAAGAAAGAAGCATGTTAATAAACTCTTACCTCCTTGCCATGTGATGCATTGCACTGACTTGGGACTTTGCAAAACATCCCCAGTAAGAAGTACCTCACCAACTGCACACCCTGGACCTTGAACCTCCCAGCATCCAGAATTTCAGAAAACATACTTTGTTTATAAATTACTCAGTCTCAGGTATTCTATTTAAGTGACAGAAAACTAAGACAGTATATTATCAAATAATCTGGCTTCAAGTTCACATATTCTTTTTTCTGCTTCATCAATTCTGCTGTTGATGCTGTCCATTGAATTTTTCATTTTGTTCATTGTATTTTTCAGCTCCAGAATTTCCATTTGATTGTTTTTTATTATTTCAATCTCTCTGTTAAATTTTTCATTCTGATCACTTATTGTTTCTCTCCTTTTTTTGAATTGCTTCTTTGAATTATCTTGAAGTTTGCTGAGCTTCCTTAAAACAGTTATTTTGAAGTACTTATGAATCATACATCTTCTTTAGGTTAGGACACTGGCACTTTATTTTGTCCCTTTGACAATATCATGTTTCCCTTATTGGTTTTTTGGTCTTTCTTTTTTTTTTTTTTGGCAGCTGGTTAGTACAGGGATCAAACCCTGGAACCCTGGACCTTGGTGTTATCAGCACCATGCTCTAACCAACTGAGCTAAACAACCAGCCCCACACTTATTGTTCTTAATCTTTATAACATGTGTTGATTTCTGTGCATTTGAAGAAGTAGATACTTATTCTGGTCTTTCCAGACTGGCTTTATCTGAGAAAGCCCTTCACCAGTTAGTCCATTGAGGGATTCTGAACATGGCCCCAAAGCCTATAGCTGCTGTTGCCAGCACAGTGTTAGGGCATGCCTGAAGCTCTTGGCTGCTGATGCTTCCTTGTTGCTGAGTGTTGTCCAAAACCCAAGACCACTGACATTGACCCAGCATTAGTACAGGCTGGTGATTGAGTTCACCACACAAGCCTGAAACCTGGGGCTGCATGGTTCTGGATGGTAGGGCATGCCTGAAGCTCTTGGCTGCTGATGCTTCCTTGTTGCTGAGTGTTGTCCAAAACCCGCCACTGACATTGACCCAGCATTAGTACATGCTGGTGATTGAGTTCACCACTCAAGCCTGAAACCTGGGGCTGCATGGTTCTGGATGGGACTGATGTTTCATCCCATGGATACTAGAGTCTGGTGCCATGGGAGTCTGCTTGATGCTGGGTTTCCCAAAGTTCTAATTTTTTCTTAAAAGCTCAAATTTTATCATTGGCAGCAAACACTATCAGTTTGTTTCCCTGGAGTGGTAGGCTTACTTTCTTTCAGCAGTGATTTGTAGGTTTCATTGTAGAGATCTTTCATCTCCTCAGTCAAACTGATTTCTATTTGGGTGACTATTTTAAATGGGCTTGCTTTATTATTTTCTTTTTCAGCCAGTTTGTTATTGGAGTATAAAAATGCTCCTGATTTTGGTGTATTGATTTTATTTCCTGCAACTTTACTAAAATAGTGTATCAGCTCTAGGAGTTTTTTGGTAGAGTCTTTAGGTTTTTCCATACATCGGATCAAGTCATCTCCGAACAGGGACAGTTTGACTTCATCTTTTCCAATCTGGATGCCTTTTCTTTCTCTTGCCTGATTACTCTGGCCAGTACTTCCAATACTATGTTAAAAGGGAGTGGTGACAGTGGGCATCCTTGTCTTGATCCTTTAGGATGATATTGGTTTTGTCATATATGGCTTTTATTGTGTTGAGATACTTTCCTTCTTTACCTAATTTGCTAAGACTCTTTATCATGAAGTGATATTGAATTCTGTCAAATGCTCTTTCTGCATCTATTAAGAGGACTCAACAGGATGGAAAGACATTCCATGCTCTTGGATTGGAAGAATTAGCATTGTGAAAATGTCCATACTACCGAAAGCGATCTATAGGTTCAATGCAATTCCCACAAAATATCAATGACATTCTTCACAGAAATAGAAAGATACCAATCTTAACATTCATATGGAACAAAAAAAATACCCCGAATAGCCAAAGAAATACTGAGTGAAAAAAAGCTGGAGGCATAACACTCCCTGACTTCAAACTATACTACAAAGCTATCGTAACCAAAATTCAGACCGATGGAACAGAAAGGAAAACCAAAATCCACCCACATACTTGCAGCCAAACTGATCTTTGACAAAGGCAATACAAACATACATTGGGAAAAAAACTGCCTCTTCAATAAATGGTGCTGGGAAAACTGGACATTCATATGTAGAAAAATGAAACTACACCCATACCAAAATCAACTCAAAATGAATTAAAGACTTAACTATAAGAGCTGAAACCATAACACTCCTAAAAAAAAAAACATAGGGAAACACTTCAGGATATAGGACTGAGTAAAGACTTTATTAATATAACTCCAAAAGCAGAGACAGTAGAAGAAAAAATAACAAATGAGATTATATCAAATGAAAAAGCTTCTTCACAGCAAAAGAAACAATTGAGAGAGCAAAATGATAACCTACAGAACAGGAGAGAATATTTGCGAACTATGCATCTGACAGGGAATTAATATCCAGCATATACAAAGAACGCAAACAACTCAACAGTAAGAAAACAAGTAACCCAATTAAAAAATGGGCAAAGGAGCTGAATACACATTTCTCATATGAAGATATACAAATGGCCAACAGACACATGAAAAAGTGCTCGACATCATTCAGCATCAGGGAAATGGCAATCAAAAGCACACTGATATATCTTCTTACTCCAGTTAGACTGACTGTTATCAAAAAGACAGAGAATAACAAATGCTGGTGAGGATATGGAGAAAGGAGAACCCTCCTACACTGTCAGTGGGAATGTAAATTAGCACAGCCATTATGGAGGACAGTATAGAGGTTCCTCAAACAGGTACAGATAGAACTACCATACTATCCAGCAATCCCATTGCTGGGTATATACCCAAAGGAATGTAAGTCTTTATTTCGAAGGGACACCTGCACTGCCATGTTTATTGCAGCTCTATTTACAATAGCCAAGAGCTGGAATCAACATTAATGTCCATTGACAGATGACTGGATAAGGAAAATGTGGTATATATACTCAATGGAATACTAATCTCCCATAAAAAAAAATGAAATTCTGCCATTTGCAGCAATGTTGATGAACTAAGAGAAAATTATGTTAAGCAAAATAAGCCAGGCACAGAAAGAGAAATACCACATGTCCTCACTCATAAGTGGGACCTGAAAGAAAGGAAGAAAGAAATAGGAAGGAAGGAAGGAAGGAAGGAAGGAAGGAAGGAAGGAAGGAAGGAAGGAAGGAAGGAAGGAAGGAAGGAAGGAAAAAAGAAAGAGAGAAAGGAAGGACGGGAGGGAGGAAGGACGGACAGATAGAAGGAAAGAAAGAAAGAAAAAGAGAGGAAGGAAGGAAGGAAGGAAGGAAGGAAGGAAGGAGGG